CAGAATTTCAGGACTTTAAGAGATTTAAAAATTTTACAAAGCACCCTGTATTCTGGGGGACCATATTTGTACTGAGTGCTATGTACCATCTCTGGATATCTAGGCTTAATGGTTACCAATGGAGATGATAGATAGATAGATAGATAGATAGATAGATAGATAGATAGAGAGATAGAGAGATAGAGAGATAGATAATTGTTCATTTCATATAGCCTAACCATATTTAAAGCCCCTCCCCTTATCTGCCATGTGACTGCTGGGAATCGAACCCAGATTCTCTGCAAGAGCAACCAGTGCTCTTAAACACTGAACCATCTCTCCAGCCCTGATGTTGTGTCTTTTTGATGTTTAGGCTTTTTGTTCTATGTATATCCTAAACACTAGCCCTTTGTCAGATATATAACTATTAAGGCATTTTTCCCACTCAGTAGATTGCATCTTAATTCAAGTGTCGGTGTCCTTTGCTGCATAGAAGCCTTTCAGTTTCATGAGGTCCCATTTGTCAGTTGTTGATTTTAATATCTATGTATTGGGGTTCAAAGGTGCTTTCCTCTGTCTATAAATTGAAGGGTACTACCTATTTTCTCCTTTATCGAATTTTGGGTATAAAGTCTTAAGTTGAGGTCCTTGATCCCATTTGGAGCTGAATTTTGCTCAGGGTGACGAGATCTACTTTCAGTTGTCTGCCAGCTATTGATTTGACCAGCACCATCTGTTGAAGATGCTGTATTTCCTACAATGTGTTGTTTTGTCTTCTTCGTCAAAAATCAGGTACCTGTAAGTGCATGGACTTAAATTTGGATCCTCATTTCTATTCCATTGACCAGTATGTCTGTTTTTATGCCAACACCTTGCTGTTTTTATTACTGTACTTTATAGTATAACTTTAAATCAGGTTTGATGATATCCTGGCAGTGTTTTCATAATTCACGATTGCTTGGGCTATTCTGTGTCTTTTGGTTTCCGTATGAATTTTAAGTTTATGTTTTCAATTTCTGTGAAGAATTTGTTGGAATTTTTATGAGGATTGCTTTGAATCTGTAGCTTGCATTTGGTAATCTCACATTATTAATCCTACTAAACTATGATAATGAGAGGTCTTTCCATCTTCTGATATCTTCAGTTTCTGACTTCAGTGTCTTAAAGTTTTCGTTGTACACATTTTTCATTTCTTTGGCCAGATTTATCCCAATATATTTTATTATTTTGAGGCTATCATGGATGGAATTGTTTCCATGATTTTTCTCAGATTGTTCGACTGTAATAGTTATTTTTCTGTTGCTGTGATGAAAAACTGAGCAAAGAAACTTATAGAAGGGTTTATTTGAGCTTACAGTTCCAGGGGAATTAGAGTTCATCATGGTGGGAAGGCGTGGTGACAGGAGGCGACAGGAGTAGAAACTGGAACGTTCGCCTCTTCAAGCAGGCACAGGAAGCAGAGTGTGACTGGAGATCTGGCAAGGCTTAAGAACACGCTAACACTGCCCCCAGGGACAATGAATTAATAATCTTAAGTAACAAAGAAGAAAATTATAAAAACAGAAAAAGCAGTTATCACAGCTTAACACATTATACTAGTAGCAAGCGCAAGGATGGAGAAACGATAGGCAGAAAAATGTGAAGTATAGCTTGTCTAATGACTCACTATAGAAATCTCTGATTTTCTTTATCTTTAGTTTACAGAGCTTCTGTGGTTTCTGCAACACAAAGGAAAATGTACCATTATATAGCAAATGTTCCAGTAAAAATCCTGGACATTCTCGTCAGGACACAGATGAAATTATTCTGGTGATTTTTTTTTTTAGTTTGTGCTTGAAATTACACAAATAACTTTCACATAGTTAGCAATATAGTGCATTGTTTTCAAGTACATTTTCAGTTTCAATTCTCAAAATAGGAGACAGGCATTATCAAGGGAGAAATGGGGAAAATGAGAGTACTTTAGGAAGGGAGAAGGTAGGGTTGAACAGGGAGAAAGAAGAGATAAATAATGTTTATGTGGTGTGAAAAACCAGAGGGAAATGCATTAGTTCAAAAGCCTATTGAAAAATACACATATAGTACCTCTACATGAGTGCATGTACAGTTGTTGATTTTAATATCTATGTATTGGGGTTCAAAGGTGCTTTCCTCTGTCTGTATAATAAAAAACACAATGCCGGACAGGAGAAACCTCCCTTCAAGTTATTGATCAGGGTAGTCCAAGAGACTCCCCAAACAACAAAGGCTTTTGCATATCTCTTGATCATCTCCAAAAACTTGAAGGTAAGAAGACCCTATGACTGAAGACAGCACATATTTCAGACACAGGACTTGGAATAATTAAGCTGAAACTTACCTGGAAGCCTCCTCCCCAAAGACTAGCTCTCATAATTTTACAGGATACCATGCAAGCTTCTTAGGAGAAAATCAATCCAGTCCAACCCCAGTTTTAAAACTAATAACCACAACAATAACTGACACAGCAAACTACATTGGTGTAGTAGTGGCACTTTTATCTTGGGGGTAAACAACATCTATCTAATTGAACTTAAAGCCTGCTCAGTGGGAGGTAACTCATTGTGGTACTGTAAACATAGCCAAATACACATGGCTAGAAAAGTCATAAATCCTATAGAAAATCCTATGTCTGTCACATCCCTAGACAAACAAAATGTCTTACTGTATGCTAAATATTGATACTTATATTTAGAGATAAGTATACAAGTAACCACTCATCAAAGAAGCTTCTTTTTGCAATGGATGGAGGTTGTTACAGAATTCCACAACTGGTCACACACAGAGAATAAGTGCTGTGAGATGCCAAACTCTAAGTGACACATCTACAGTGGAACCTCTATATCTAAGGCTCAGTTCACATAGCAGAACAGGAGGCAGAGAGAATATTAATGTATCTTTCAACTCTCAGCAGAAGAGCTTCTTCATTCAGTCAAGCGTGATGCACAAAGATGCTCACAATCAGCCAAGTATAGAGAGTAAGAGAATGAAGGCTGTGTGTTCCTGGATAGGACTCCTGTAACAAACCTCACCCAGACAGAGCCCAGGGCCCATTGTGAAAGAGGGGGCAGAAAGTTTGAGAGAGCCAGGGGTGGTGCATGACCACAAGGAAACAGTCTTCCAGGCCACTGGAAACTTGCTCCTAGGAACTTACAGTAATGCTGACAGCATGAGTAAGACCCCTGCACGCTCAGTCACACAAAATCTCAGCAGAGAACTGTGGAAATGGGTAAGAAACCCCAACCCCAGCCAAGAAACGATTGGTAGTTTATCACTCTTGGGTGAGAGAGAGAGAGTTGATCTCCTCTAAGGGATTGATGCTAGATATGTTGACCAAACTCCAGTGGATGGATTCATACTGAGGGCCATCTGGGTACACAAACTTGACTCGATAGGCATTAACATGTATGAGAAAATGCATGAAATCAGGTACGTTGGCTATGGAGAGATGTAGATAGGGGAGAGGTTCTAAATATGATTAAGATGTGTTGTATGAAATGCACAAAAAATAATAAAATATAAATTGTAAAAAAGAAAATAATTGTTCAATGAAAGAAATACATGGATATCAAGGATTTCATAAAAGGCAGTGACAAGCAGCAGAGTCTCACAGTTAAAGGTAGAGGACTGTTATTTAAAGATGCAAATCTTAAACTCAAATTGCGCTGTTAAAAAAAAATGTTAACCTGAAGAGATGACTCAGTTGTTAAGACTACTTGATGCTCTTGCAGAACACATAGCTCATAACTGCCTGTAATTCCAACTCCAACGGATGAGATGCCTCCTGCTGGCCTCTACAGGCATGTGCAAGCATGCGGTACAAATACTCAAGGCACAAACACCCATAAAATAAGTTAATGAATCTTTTAGAAGAAAAATGAAAATGTTTTAGGTAGGGAGAAGTCAAACTACCAGACTCTTACACTAGAATTTGAGGCTGATTTAATAAATAAAAGAAAGAAAATATCAGAGTTGTTTTATCGGAGTTTCACCATGTAACAATTTAATAAACACATGAGAGAAAATTTATGTCCTCTCCTAATAAATAGCTTCTATAGCTGGTGATTAAGTCAAGAGAACTTTCTTTCTATGTCATGTCAATTAAACTTGAGACCTCAGTCAATAACTGGAAATGCTGGCAGGTACTGGAGAGCAGTGCTGTACCTAACTAAGGTTGTTATTCTTGGAGTAGCAGCTCAGGGAATGAAGTCTTCTTAAGACTTCTAAGCATGTTCACTGTAAGAGGTGTTTATATATTCCAGTGCTCCTGGGGATACTGACAACAAGTGTAGAGACCTGATTCGTGTTCTTAATAAATTCTGACTGATAGCCTTCTCACACTGAGGTTGATGACATAGCACTGAATCCTAGCTAGCTATGTCTGAAGTCACGACCATGTGACACTAAAGCTTTCCATTCTATTTCATTATTGGCAAGAGAGAGAATGTAAATAGAAAGTCAATCACGTTTTTATGTTTTCCATTGCACTGAGAGCTGCAGGTAAGTAATCTCTGCTATCAATAATTGCCAGATTTTCAGGAATCCCGTAACACACATTCAAATATTTTAATTTTACTTCATAGGATTTTTAGATTCCCTTATATGTGAAAAAGCTGTGGGGGTGAATTCCACTTCTAATTCACATGGATAGCCTGAATCTTTCACTACAGTTCTCTTAATTTTTATAAAGAAGTCTTCAGTTCCTAAGAAAATCTGTATTTTAACTTTGAGTTTTATGTCTCTTTCCTGCTGGTTCTATTATTTCAGATTCTTATTTGGATGATAGATGCCAACATAACAGAGGCCAGTGAATGAAATGAAATCAACCAAAATTGTCTCTATATTTAGCAGACAATCAGGACAAATGTCTAATAGACATGTGAGTGGTATAGCAATTTAAAGAACCAAACTGTGTAATTCTGTATGCATTTACATGGACGGTTTTGATGAAATCTTTCATGTGAATTAGTATAATCTCTCATATGTTGATTTTTCCCCACCAGGTCCAAGGAACCATCTTCCCAGCTCCCAACTTCAACCCCGTAATGGATGCACAAATGCTAGGTGGAGCACTCCAGGGATTCGGTGAGTCTGGGAAGTTCTGCGCTTTGACTGTAGTGTTATCTTGTTTTACCTTGTGCTAATATGGTACTTTGTGTGTGAAGCAGCTGAGGTCTTATAACGGAAATAGTTTAAACAAAATAATAGGGTAAGTAGGCTAAGAAGGAAAATAATAGAAGACTGTGATACTGAAGAGAAATTGTAAATTCAGAAATGTGTTCCTTATGCCCTCAGTTGCCTGGTTGTTCTATACTAGACAAAATTCCAAAGGAAGAAACCTTAATCTAAAGTAAAGCATCCTTCCTGACCTTAGCATTTGTTTGCTTTCTAACTTGTTTCTGTTGCAACTTGCACTTGCAGCCAGACCTAATTTCTATTCCCTCAAGTGGCTGTTTGTTCACACCTCATAAATTATCCCAATATTCTTGCCTGGCATTCTATTTACTTCCTTGTCTACTTTTAACCTCAATTCTTCAAGTGAGCTACCTCTTTGCATCTTGCTCTGACACTCCGAGCTCCACCAGCTATGCCATCCAGAGTCCTTCTTCCTTGATGTCACTTGTCCTATGCCTGCCCTTCACACCTATAGACTGGACTGTTAGGTCTTAGCACTTGGAGATTGGCTAGGAAATATATGTTCCTCCACTGAGACTAGAGTTTAGACAGGGAATATAGAAAGAAGAAGGAGGAAAATGGTTTGAGTCATTTTTAAAATGTTTAATCTTTAAGGTACGACATGACACTGATAAATATTCATACATTTTCCTTGAACAAAAACGATTTAAAAATTAGCTCTGGATGAGTAAGAAAATAGACATATTTTGCTTATTTTTGTTCTAGTTTGCTTTCTGTTGCTGTAATAAAACACTGACCAGAACCAACTTGGGGATGAAAGGGTTTATTCATTTATTTCATTTTACACTTCCAGGTAGCTGTCCATCACTGGGAGAAGTCAGGGCAGGAATCTAAGCAGGAGCAGATGCAGGATCCACTGAGGAATGAAGCTTACCGGCTTGCTCCCTATGGATCCTGCTCAACTAGCTTCCTTAAATAATTCAGGATCACTTAACCACTGGTGCCACTGCCCACAGTGGTCTGGGCCCTCCCACATCAATCAAAATAGCAAGACAATTCCCCACAGACTGACCATGGACCAATCTGATCTGGGAAATCCCTCAACTGAGAATCCCTCTTCCCAGGTGATTCTTAGTTGTGTCAGGTTGAAAGTAAGACGAAAGAAAAAAAAAAAAAAAAAAAGAAAGAAATGATTACAGAAAACATGAAAACCCAGCAATGTTATCTTTCAAACTTGATGGAGAAATAGGCATATTTCAAGACAGATACAAATTAAAGCAAATAGTGATGATCAAACCAGCACTGCAGAAAATTTGGAAGGAATACTATACAGAGAGGTATAGGAAAAACAGTTCCACCCAGGTGAACACATGAAAGAACACACTTTATATCTTTCAAAGAAGTGAGGATCTCTCTCTCTCTCTCTCTCTCTCTCTCTCTCTCTCTCTCTCTCTCTCTCTCTCTCCCCACCCCCATGGTGTGTGTACATGAATGCACAGATATGTGTTTTAGTTATGAGTAACAATGTCCCACAGGAAATAATAAAATATTAAATATGCCTTTTAAGTTGACTTTAGAAGTTGGCAGTCATTTCATACCTTTTAAAATATCAATCATCACTAGAAAATGTGTGAAGATAAAGTAATTTTTCTTTACAAGTGTGACTTTTGCTTTAAAACTGTAGGTCAGAGCAATCTAGTCACCACAAAACAAATTTCTTTGCTCCAGCTTCAATTTTCTAACATCGCAATTTTTAGAATGAAAACGTGGACTCATTCTAACTATTGTAATATTTTGCTTGTCAGGTTAGGCTAAGGGATTTCAGGAGGTTCAGCATTTGACTGCATAGCGTCTAGGGTAACCTGCCAGAACAGGAACTATTTCATACAATTCTGTCCATCATGGCGACTTTGATAAAGTGCAGTTGGAAAAGGCAATTACTAAAGTTTTGTCCAGATATTCTGATTTATGAAAATCTAAAACAAAAACTGAATTCTAAGGCAAATGAAAATCAACAATTTATACAAAACAGTTGAAAATTCAAAAACCAAATTGTATTCACTCAGCAGAAAATGGAGCACTTCTTAGCAGAGCATTTTTTCACAGTACAGTCAGCTTCTCTGTTCACCATCAGAAGCCACTTTCCCACCTGCATGTTTTCAAAACAACTGTATTTGTAAAAAGTCTGTGCATATGTGCTTTTCACATCTCTATGAGACATGGGATAACTAGAACCATTGTCAAGGTTGTTGTTTGAGACAGGGTCTCCCTGATGCCCCAGCTGGCCTACAACTCATATGTAGACCAGGCTGGCCTCTGTCTCATAGCAATCTGCCTGCCTTTCCCTCCCAAGTGCTGAGATTAAAGGTGAATGCTACCAAGCCTGGTCACCAGAACCATTTTAACCTATATCCTAATCAATCTGTTTTGAAACATTCACTCTGAGGGCTAAGGTAAACATCCTCACCTTGTGAAGGAGCGCTCTCAACATTAAGCATGATAGTAATCTAAAGATTTTGGAGAGTTTCTTTATCAAATTAAAGGAATTCCTGTTTCTACTTCAGTGAGAATTTTCGTGGCAGGTATTAGTTTTTTTTCGAATGCCTTTTCTGTGTCTGTCTATATAACCATATTTAATTTCCTCTTTGGACTGTCTAGAAAATAGATTACATTGATGTTAAACGTTATTAACTGTATATAATTCTTCCTATACGTTGTCATATACACTTTTCTATTTTTTGAGGGTTTTTAAAACTTTGTTCATGAAAGACCTTGGTCAATAATTTTCTTGTAGTGTCTTTCCCTGGTTTGGCATTAAAGTAATATTGGTTTACCTTAGAGAATGCTTTTGGGTATGCAGAAGGGATTATAGGCAACTTGAATTTTTTTAAAAAATTGACATATTCACTAATAATACATCTAAAGGCTTTTATTCTGACAGGCTATTGATAATTGATTCAATCAATTTTATAGCCATATGTTTATACAAACAGCACTTTTTCTTATATGAGTTTGAGTAGATCATATCTTTGAAGGAACTAATCCATTTATCTAGATGATTAAAATTTATGGCATAGAGTTATTTATAATGTTCCTTTTTATCCTTTCAGTGACCATGGAGTCAAGGAGATGACTTCCCTTTCATTTATTAGAACAGTACTCTATTTTTGTATTTTTATTAGGACTTTAAGAAAATGTTGACATACATTTAAAATCATTATGGAATGTTTCAGAAAGAGTAATTAATAAGAACTGCAATGAAAAATAAAAAAACAAATTTAGAGAGATAGTATATAATCTCAACAGAAAAAAATCAAATCAAAAGACTATACTAATTCAAGAAATGCCATGACTATAAGAAAAGCAGAGCGTAGGTAGTTGAAATCTTCTATGTATTATTTTTAACTCCCTTCTTAGAATGAACTTTGCTCATTTCCGTTATCACCCTCTGTTGACACCCTGCCTATTCTTCCACCAGCCTCCTTTTCTTTCTAAATATTTTATCTTTTACTGAAAAACATTTCCAGGCTGTAAAACTGACAAGAAACTGGAAGAAAATTCATAGATCTTGGGAGCAAAGGAAATATTAATAACTTCAAATATTCTAGGATACATTTCCTAAGATAAAGGCCGTCAAGAGTCTGTAGTTATGAGAGGAACCTGTCTACATTTTAGTCAAGCAGACACAAAAGTTAAGGTCATCTTGGTCATCCTACCATCAATGTAATTAGAAATATCAAATGATGTAAAGAAAATATGATATGACTGGTGGGGATGTGTGATGCGATAGGTGATGTAATATGCTCTAAGATGTTAATAAGTACAGGATGCATAGCCCCAAACAGAGTCTAGGCTATGAGTGAGAAGCTCTATGTTCTATGCAAAGCGTGCAGACACCATGTACTGCCATTATTTCCTTCTGGGTTACTCTTCTTCTCCCTAGGGGTCCTGACAAGAGCTGCCATGTTTTCATCAGTTTGAAAGACAGAGGGGCTTTATTTATTTTTAGTGGGATGGATTCCATGGTGAAGAAAAGATAAGTTTCCCTTACCCTCCTGTATTTCTTATGGGATTTCTATTTGTTTGTCTTAACTAGAGGGAGGCAATGCGTAGCAACAGTGAGAAGGAGCCTAGGATTCATCCAGCATTGATTACTGTGTGGTGTCCAATTTTACTTAAAAGTAGAGCATTGTCAGGGATATTGCTGGTTGATTTTCATCCATAAAGGGGAGGCTCTTCCTAGCTACAGGGTAGTAGCTTTACTAATCATCCACTACTATTTCCTTCTAGACTGTGACAAAGACATGCTGATCAGCATCCTAACGCAGCGCAGCAATGCACAGAGGCAGATGATTGCAGGAGCCTACCAGAGCATGTATGGCCGGGTAAGAACTCTTTGCCTTGACCTGTTCCTAGACAAACTCCTAAGACTTATCACTCCTCTCAGAGAACCGGAACTCACAGAGCACAAACACTCCTCACCTTTGTGTTCATTAAAAATAGTCTGCAGTGCTCTTACATGTTTCAAGGAATAAGAGCTATATCATTAAATGTATATATATATATATATATATATGGATGAAGTATGTTCACCCAGTAACCTATCAGTCCTTTTCTAAATTCATATAGTAGCCCCCAAAAGAAAAGTTGGATAACCTTACATGCACTTGGTCCAATTAGGCTATAAGAGTTGAGCTGGGAATGTCTGTATGGAGCTTTAGGGGAGGCAAAGAGGACTAATGATCACTGGGGTCAAAAAAATAACAGCTTTTCCTCCAATTCTCTGCAGGTCCTCACCTAGCTCTGAACCAATACGAATTCTAGTCTACCTTTTTTTCTCCACAGCATGCAGTGATGGAGACCATTAGAAAGGAATGGCAGTTTAAAAATAGTTTAAGGCAATAAAACCATCCATGTTTTAAAGTAATTGCACTCTAATTTCAAAGCAGGTACCATTAAGAATTCTTTGCTTTTGTTACGTATTTAAACCACAGATTCAGAACAAAAACTCTTCAGGCCAAAAGGGCCTGAAATAGCAGTTACTTTGTCAACTGAACATTATCGATGAAACACTGTCATAAAACTTTCTCTATAGAAATTGACTCTGTCTGTAAAGCTCAGCCTTTGAACAACCATAACACATGCAATAAAAGATGGCCCTACATTTTAGAATGAATTAATGATCCCAAAAGCTCTCCAAGTAGAGAAGAGTTGAATTAAAGGCAAAGAAGACAAGCAGCTATACCTTTATCCCCATGAACGTGCACCACAGCTTATGCCGCCATGATACTAATGCTAGGTGTTTGGATTATTTTTTTAACAAAATATAAAAGTGGTAAAAGTTATATATATAGTTGTTAATGTAAATTAAATTTTCACAATACTGTCTGATATGCTAATTTTCAGGAACTTCTTTTTAATCCAAAGGCTTACATAGATCTTAGCTTTCAATATGCCAAGTTAATTTAGGCCAAAGAATTTCTGTGACGCAAGTGCTGCAGATGATGCCAAAGCAGATTAAAATAATTAAGAGACGGGATTTAAAATCAGTTCTTAAAAACTTATATTGAAGTGAAGCAAAGAAAGTCTTAGAGTTCAAGCCTGCACTTGTGCCACACAACCCACACGTCCTGGCTGATCGTTAAATGCTGAAGACCCAGGAAGACATTGGGCCGGGCTTGTCCCCCACCACTGAAATGTCATTGTCATTCAGTTAACTGCCAAATCCTACCGTTTACCTCTCCCCTCACATTCCTGCTTTTCTCTGCTTACATGGTCTTGATTTAGGTCTCTACACTTTCTTGCCCTAGCTGACTCCTACCTAGTTCATGCTACTCCTAATTTATGCCATTCCACTATTCAACTTAAAGACATAATGACTCAAATTTCAATTTAGCCAGGCATGGTGGTACACGCTTTTAATCCCAGCCCTCAGGAGTGGAGGCTGACCAGCCTGGTCTACATAGCCAGTTCCAATCCTGCTGGGACTACAGGGAGCCTTATCTCAAAAAGACCGAAAAAATATTCTACATTTTCCCTGAACATTTATACCATTTTTCTGTCATAAATGTCCATCTTTGCCTGATATAAATTCGAATTCTTTCGCAGGGCATAAAAAAACATTCCTTACTTCATTTCTCTTTTCTGTATTAATCCCTCCTCATGCTTCCTTACATACTTTCTTTTTTTAATATTTTTAAGACATTTTTTAATATTTTATTATTTTTATTTTATATGTATACATATATTGCCTGCATGTAAGTAAGTGCACCTGTGTTGTGCAATGCCTATGGAAGACAGAAGAGGCTGTCAGATCCCCTGGATCTGGAGTTATGGGCAAATGTTAGCTGCCACATGGATGCTGAGATTCGGACTGGGGTCTTCTGCAAGAACAGTCAGTGTTCTTAACCACTGAGCCATCTCTCCAGCCCTCCTTATATACTTTCAACCATAGCCACAGAGTATTTGTAGTTCTCCAATCATTCTGCCTCCCTCCTCACCCTTCATCATTCTGTTCCATCTGTCTCCTGTAGCCCAGTTCTCATTGCACACGGTACCTCACCTGTCATCCTCCCAGACGCTGGACACCATAGTTACTCCACTTACCCCTCAAATCCAGTGATGCACATGTGTGATGCTAATCACCTGTTCCATCACTTCTTCAGTCTGTGAGCTTGTTTGTATCTGTTTCACATTACCAGTGTCTTAAGACGTGAAACTTGAAATCATTTTTATTCAGCCAAGAGTTTAGCATAAATGGTTGCTTAACATCAAGACTGTTTAAGTAATGTCTGTTGAATGACACTGTGACCTCGTAGCTAATTGCAGTTTTTCCAAGGAGATGCAGACTTTGTTCCTCCTAAGTTGTGCAGCCTGCCATGCTCCCCTCTACTCCAGGCCAGGTGCTTTCTGCTTGGGGTCCAGAGGTCTCTATACACAGGGCTACCATGAGACTTGCCAGATTGTTTCACTACTGTATCAAATTCACTGCAACATCAAGAAAAACACGGACTGCATTATGTTGTGTCTACTCTCTAGAGTTTTCCTTCAAGTTCTGACAGAGGGGGCACTTTATTAAATAATGAATTCAAAGAACAGCACTATGCCCATTTACTTTTTAACAATAATTAAATTAAGTTAAAAGTAAGTGAAAAGGGAAATTTCTTGTTAATAGAGCTGTAATTTAAATTAAATGCTTCTAAGTTGCCTAGAGTTCACTTTTCTAACACCCTTTCTGTGGTTGCTGCAGGTTAATTTGCATGACCATTTGTTAGGTCTTCTGACCTCCCCCACTCTTCACATTCTTATATTTCGTGTTTGCTATGTTCTGCTTTCTGTGATGAGCATGTATATATTATCTTCTGTGTTAATCATTGATATTTTTATTTCCTACTAACACGGATAATCAAGCTATTGAGTGAAGCACAATTTGAGGCATGCTCCATCTGCTTGTTAGATCATTCACATTAGTGAGGGCCTGCTGGATTTCATCTACAGCATTGTCTTACCCATAACAGAACCTAATCCCCAGGCTCAACTGAAACGTTGTTTGGAGTGTGGCTGATTGGCATATTTCTCAGTATAATCAATGTGATTACTACTGCTCTTTCTCACCAAGGCAAATGTTGGTCTATTGACAATGCAACACAGCTAAGGAACACTGAGCTGCTTTGGGGACAGGGAGGAGGCTGTTGGTACCAGACAAGCTTGACAACCAGACAACAACTCCCAAAGGAGTTCAAATGGAGTATCAAACCAATTTATTTTCCTGCTTTTCAACTGTAACAGGAATGACCATCTCTGAAATATGTCTGTCGTGTAATTGCAGCATTGATTGTATAATTTGGTGCAGGGACAGTCAATCCCACAGGCAGAACACAAACCAAAACCACCTTACTAAATTGTGTTTCCATAGCCTCTCCATTGTTCTCAAGTCAAAAAGCACCAGAATTAGCAAGGGCAGTGAGCATCACACATCCTTCAACGTTTTGCTAACTACATGGTCACCCACCACAATGACTACACTAGCATTCCAGAATGCCTTCACCATTCTTATTTTTACCTGTAACACTTATCATCTTAGCCTACCACCTATTCTTATTCCTATTTATTGGATGTCATTTATTATTATTATTATTATTATTATTATTATTATTATTTATCTCTGAAATACAAATCCCAAAAAGGGAAAATATCTTTTTATTCACCAGTGTTTCCAAAGCATCCACAGCACCAGAATTCAGATGATTGGAACTATTTATTATATCAAGTTCCCCAAATGTGTCAGAGCACTAACTGCTAGGCTTCTAAGGGGGTAGTTAGAAGGTCAAAGGGCAGGGCCCTAGTCCAATAGGACAAAAATAGCAATACCAGGGGTGTACATATTTAAAAAAATAACGAAGTGGTTTTGTGCAAGCCAGGGAAATGGAACAAACCTGCACAACTAGACGCTGGGCTTTCTGCCTGCATAATTGTGTGAAAGTACCTTTCTGTTGTTTAAGTCCATAGCATCCTGTCACAGCAGCCTAGCTGACTAATCACATTAGTACTTGATAAACAGATATGATGGATTTAGAAAGAATTTACTCTTCAAACTCTCCTGCTCAATCTTCTCCTTTTCATCCCTGAGCTTCACAGATAAAAATACCAGTATGAAGAACATACTGAGGAAGGAGCTTTCTAGAGTGTTATCTATGCTACAGAGACCCTAGTACCCCTAACAAGTGCTGTATCTTCTCCTGCACTCGTCACTTTAGTTTGAAAGAGAGAATAAATGTAGTTTTAGCCTAAAAACTGAACTTAATTATATAAATTATCATAGATAAACATTTTATAAATAGGAATTATGATTTAAGATGATACAGTTACATCATCTTTCAAATATGTAAGCTAAATATAATTTTTGGTAAAACTCAGAACTTCACAAACATGAAAAATGATGTATAATTTCAAAAAGGTTTCCTAAGAATCAGAGTTTTATAAATTCAGAAAATCAACTGTATAGGTTTGTTGTAGCCTACAAAATTATTTCTCTTGAATAACATAATTTCTGCTAAGGTGAGAATGGGGGGGGGGAGAGGAAGAAAGAAGGAAAGGGGAAAAGAACATTAGACATGCATTAAAACTAGCCTCACTGGATTTCAAAATGCTTTTTAAAGAAGTCTTGGAAATTTATGCTTGTACCTGCAACATAGTCCTCCTCTTAAAGCATTAGATGATTTAAAATTTCAGTTTTAGCCTGTCTATTCTATGGGTATATGAAACACACTTTAGTTTTAACTTGCTTTTTTCCCTGGTCAAATTTAATGATGGGCGTCTTTCACTGATTCTTTTGTGTTACTGGCTACTGCTTCTTTTTAATATTTTATTTATTATTTTTCTTTTT